TTTCCTCTGATGACAGCTTTTTGGGAGCATGCTTTTTGTGCCACACATCAGTGGAGTTCATGAACAGGAAAAAAACAACTGTTGGGGTGGGGTGTGAAACCTCTGTGGAGGCTGCGATTCTTCCGTCTGTCCTTCGCAAGAAATAGCAAATGGCAAAGGCCTCCTCAAAAGCATCACCGCAGCTGTTTCAGTTGCTCAGATCTTAAAAGTTCTCATCTTCCCCAAAACCACAGGTGACTCCCACTGCTGGACACGGAACAAAAGCCATCCCGAGCCCGTGTGTCTGTGAACGTTACTGCTACCGAGCGCGGCAGCTGCCGGTTACGCTTCCCTCCTGCAGCACCTTTGTCGGTACCATTTGTCAGGGATTACATCTTCATTAAGCTGTGTTTGTTTGGTCTGTTTGCGCTCTACTTCCTTCAGGAATCAGATCACAATGTGGAAGTAACTTCCAGGGTTCCTGTTCCATGGAAGTTCCCCGTGCCTCCAGCCAGGCCGGTGCTACGTAGCCGTGACGTTCCCTGCGTTACGGCGTTAGAAGCCTTGAGCATTCATAGCCGATGCAAGCGTGAAAACCTCCGATGATGATGCAAAGCGAGGCTTTCCTGGCCAGGTTGTGCTGTGGCCGAACTGCTCCAGCCGCGTGCCGACCCCAAACGGGCGCGTTGGATGTGGGCACTGTGCTTGGTTGCGGTCGGGTCGTTCTCTGCGTGCTTAATTGGGTATTGCCGTATATCTGCTTTCTCGCACGTTACTTATTTTGCTTGTTATTTTTTAATTTTGAGGCAAATAGACTTATAGTTACCTAAATATATGACCCAAAGTAATGCTGTGTTTGATGATTAAATTTAATGGCAAGTTTTGTGTCAGGCCCTTTGGAACACCGGGAAGAAATGCCAATGTCTCTGTGTAAGCCCTGGTTTCTTCATGCGAATGGATCTTAGGACAGAAGAAGAATTTGTAATTGTATTTATTTGAACTGTGTTTTAAAAAGTAGTATAAGCAGAAAAATAAATGATTTGTAATTAAAAAATACTGAATTGGCACAAATTGGAGCTGTTTTAAGGAAGCTGGCAGAAATCCATTTTTTAAAATGTGGTAAGAGATTATTTCTTTTCTTCTCAGAATTTCAGAAAAAAAAAGCCATTAAAGTTATATGAAATTAAATCATTGAGCATGGATATCAGCACATTTAAGAAAAAAAAATATCAAAGCAGCTGTTATTTATATTCAGGGTGAGATTCAGTGAAGTCTGTCTTGCAGACAGGGTGCATATTCGCATCATCATAAAACCTAGCTTGGAGAGGGGGCCGGGGGAGAGCTGGCTGCTTGAGTTGCTTTGAAGTTTTATTTTTATAAAGTGCTTTTTTTTGCCCCCGTGGCAGCAAAACTGTAATAGGATCAAAACCTCTGCTGCTGCTCCATGTTGGATGGCCTGCAGCAAGGTGACTCCTGGTTAGTAATCTCCAGCGCTCAGGTATGTCATTGAGGGTTGACAGTGCCAGGAGCAAAAAGGAAAGGAAAAAAGGTCACAATCCAAGTTATCATCAATCTGGAAGAATGTAATAAGCACAAGGGAGAAAGGGGTAGAGAGAAGATGTGCTATAGTGCTGCTTCTCGTGCTCGGCACAGGCAGCCCAAGCGTGAGGAGGAAGGGGAGGCTGGAGGTGCTGGCACTGCTGCTGGTGCTTCTGTCCCTCCTTCAAGCTAAATCCTTCCAAACCGACCAACTGGCAATTGTGTGCCCTAAAAAAAAAGCATTCTTAATGTGCAATAAACAATATAACAGAATAAAACTGATTTAGAATAGGTTAGTTACTAATTTGTAAGTGTCTGTCTCCTACCCATTCAATACAAATGAAACCCACAACTCCCAGACACTGTAACTGTAAATGTTTTGGCTGAAGCATTAGTCTTGCTTTATTTGTCTCATTTTAGACGTGATCCTGACCTGCAGATTAAGAATTGGGGTGGTTTGGTATGTACATAGGGGCGACTAAAGTGAAAATGAAATTGTATGAGCACCTACATAAAATAAACATGTTTTGAAACGTTCAACTTTGCATCAGGAGCGTCAGGTTCTTGGTTTGATCCGGGTGCCTCTCCTTCCCCCAAAGCCACTGCACTCTGCCACCGTCAGAGCTCGCAGCATCACAGAACGGTTTGGGTTGGAAGGGAGCTTAAAGATCGTCTAGTTCCAACCCCCAAACTTCCTTTAAGTTGATGCATTCCTGACGAATGGCTTGGTTTCGAATAAAGGGTGCTTTTTAATTGTGCCAAAGATGTTCCACCTCTTCTCTGAGGCAGCAGCTTCCCCAGCCCGTAGCACGGTTCTTGGCAGAAAGCCGATGGATTGTGAGTGGTTTTCAGTACTGCGCGGGGCTCTGGCGCGGCGGGCGGCAGAAACCAGTCCACTCCGAGGGCTGAAGGGGCTGCACCCTCGAATATTTTGTCACTAGACCTTCTCTTGCCTTGGCCAAGTGTTCTTCGTGCTGCTGGACACCAGCTGCGGTTGGGACAGGGTCGATTTGCCCAGCCGCTCTCCCTGGCCCCTGAGCCGCAGCGCCGTGTGCTCCTCCTGGAGGGGCTTCTCTCTGCTGGGCAGGCAGCGCTGCAGGGGCCTGGGCAGCAAACTGCGGAGAGGGGCGTCCCGAGGCAGGACGGGGCTGGGAACCCAGGGGGGCACCAGCCTGTGAGTTTGTGCCCCTTGACGTCTCCCGGTTGTTCCTTCCCCCACCTCCTCCCACCAGTAATTCTGCTTTTTTGTAGCGCATCTTGACGAAATCGGTCTGAGATACGAACACAGCGTGTGAAAGGCCAAGGGAGCCCTGGTGCAACGCGGCCGCGGTCACCTTGGCCCGTGCTGGCAGAGCTGTGCAGGCGTCGCTCACGCTTTAGCACCTTTCAGCTGCAATTCTGCCAGTATCTGAAAGCCACAAACTTTCTCAAATCTGTTCGCTTCAATGGGATAAGAGAGCTCACAAGGAAAGCGGCTGATCCTGGAAAATAACGTTGGTGTTTTATCACCTTTAAATGTTTTCAGCCATTTTTCACCAGTTGTAAGTCTAGAATACGTCTGTAAGTTAGCATGTGGTTAAGGTCTAACAAATAAGGCTTCCTCCTACTGAAATGGTATGTGCTCTGTCCTCGCTGTCTGTCCTTTTTCTGTCCCGTTTTCTATCAGCTACTTCTCAAACATAGCACAGACGTGCAGGCACGACCCAGCTGGGTTTGGCTCTTCTGCAGGTAGCGGCGCTCTGGTCGGTTTTGTGCGTCACCTCGGCTGCAGCCCGGTCTGGTGTACGCGATACACCCTTCAGAGCAAGTAGGTACATGCACCAACTCTAAGTCGTCTCTGTGTCTGATTTTAATCTTCAAGAAGTACTATAAATAGGAGTTGGAAAAACACTTGTCATGTAGGTTACATTGCCTCGGGAAATGTTTTGTTTTGGAAAAAGCAGCCTACTGCAGAGAGGGCAGCCAGGAACGATGGTTTTTACAGGAGGGTGTAGTTCTGCATCTGAGAGGAGTGTAGAGTCACCTGGGTTTGTTCACCTTTGATGATGTTCCAACGTAAACAGCAGAATTTGGCCACAGAACGCGAATGCACGAGGAAACGCAGAGAACTGCTTGGTGAGGGCAGGAACGAAATCACGGCATGAGCTTATCGTGGGCGTTTAATCATGGGGCTGACCTGGGTGCCAGGCAATAAGGGGCAAGATTTAGGAAAGAAAAGTTTATACTGATTTTTTTTTTTTTTTGGCCTCCAGCTTCCTCGGACGGGGGATTGCTTTTCCATTCGGCCTTAGGGCCCTACTTATTTTTGCCACCGTGGGGTTTAGATAACTTTCCATCATGGATCTCGATCAGGTGCAGGGCTGGAGGGGTGCGGGCTGCCCGGAGAGGGAAACCCTGGAGCAGCTGTAGCCCAGCTGCAACCTCTGCCCTTCCCTCTAACCGTAGGGACCACCTGAGCATTGCAGACAATTGATTTTCCTTGTACGATCTGCTCCGGTCAGCAATAACCTCCTGCTTAGTAAATCATTGCTTAAGAGGTCGCACAACCACAGACGGATGATTTCATCGCTGCTCCTCGCGCCGCATGAGTGCAGGCAGCGCCATCCTCCCCCCTCCGTGTCCGTCCCCGCGCGGGCAAGCTGCAGCTGGGCTCCTCGGGGGCGCTTGTTTAAAAACTCAGAGGATGTCCTGCGAGCTGTGTTTACCGAGAGCTCAAACAAGAGCGCACGTCTGGCAGCACCCGCCTCCGCGCCGTCCCCAGAGCTCGCGGTGGCGGGGGGCACCCGGAGCCCTTGCCTTGGCTGGGTGACGCCGGTGGATGCCTCAGACCGAACACCGTGTTTGGAGGCAAACTGCTGTCCTGCCTCGGAGGCGGCTGCGCGTTGTGAGGGACGAGCTGGTGAGGATGTGAGCGATTTCTGCAAACCGCCGCGGCTGGAAGCCCAGCCAAGAAAATGCAAGGGCTCAGCGGTGCTGGGCTGGGGGAAGCTCCACGTGCAGGGCTGTGGGTCCCCATGCTCGGGGAGGAAGAGGTTTCAACAGCGTGTTGGGTGCTGCGCTGGGGTTGGTCCTACAAAGAAACAATTTCAAAGCTTTTCCCACCAGCAGGAGGGTGAGGTGCAGGAGGGAAATGCTTTGCTGTCCTGGACTGTGCCGTGGGGGAGCTGGTGGCACAGCTGGAAGAGACATCAGGTTTGCTGGTGTTGGCTCAGCTGAGCTAGTTCCTGGTGAAACATTCCTCCTTGGTGACAGAGAGCATCCAGGCAGCCCTCTGCGTGCCTGATGGGCTCTCGTACGCTTATCGGTTGGTACCAAAGCAGCGCTGGCAGCCTTCGATAGCTACAAACAAAAGCAGGATGTTTGTGGTCTAACTGAAACGAGCTGAGCTTGTGCCTTTAGCCAGACAGAGAAGGATGCTCGAGGCTGGAGTGGCTCAGCGCCGGGCAAGGGCAGTTGTACGCACGTTGTGGAAGCGTGCTTCGGCTGGCTGGAGACACGGGGCGCGTGGATCCCGGTGTGGATCTGAGACATGCTGACAGTCCTTGGATGACGCATTGCTCCCCATTTGCTGCTGTCTGCCTTTATTTTGAGTGTTGCGCTGCTGGCTGAGTGAGGGAAGCACAGTGAGGGTCATGGTCC